TTTTTTTTTTTTCTGTTTTCATTTTTTTTTTTTTCATTCTCACCATTTCACTACTAAAACTTCCACTTTCTCCACCCCCACAACTCAGGACAATTCTATCCACACCCCTTCTCACATGTCACCCCTAGTTTTTACCACTTTCTGTTTTGCCAGTGATTATCATGGGAGGGGGAGGTCACTCTTTAAGTAAGTGCAAACTAAAATAATACAGAAGGTTAATATTTTTAAACCAGTCTCCCAATCTCTTTAGTCCATATCTGGAAAATGGTGGTCAGCTGACTGACCTATGTTGGGGCAGGGGTTTGGATCGGCAAGGAGTAGGAGATGCGTAGTTTAATTATTCTTTTATCATCTTGTATCATTTCCTTCTTTTATAATTGTTTGCCCTCTCATTCCTTGTTAATTGTATCAAGAATATATTCCTTTTGTTACTACACAATGGGGAAATTCATTTTTTAATTAGTGCTAAACAAGAATGAAAGATAAGAAATATATTTTTTTTTTATTGCGTAGAAAGATGGAAAAGAGATATTGGAGATGTTACTTTATTTCAGTGTGAAAATTAAAGAAAGATTTTAACATCTGTTTCACCAAAATAGTAAAAGTTGTTAATTGCAAATCTTTTCATTTGTACCCCCTTACTTCTTAAAATATCAGCCAGCATTCATATAATGATTGTTATTGCAATATTTTGCTAAAGTCATAAAGCTCAAATATTTACTGATAATATACTGGAATTTCTACTCTTTCCTTGTTAATTGCATCAAAAACATATTCCTTTTGTTGCTATGCAATGAGGAAATTCATTCTTTTATCAATGCTAAACAAGAAAAGAAGACAAGAAATACATTTTCTGGATTTACCAAAATGCCAACTCAACTTTCCTATGGGCAGGACTGGTTTACGTTTCTCGTGCCCTCCTTGAATCTATTCCACTCCCCAATCTATGATACACAGGGTAAGGGTACTCTGCTACATCTCAATTTTCATATAAATTATAAATTTTATCATAACCTAATTATGTACAATAATAGATCATATGCAATATAAGTGAACAATTCAACTAGAAAAATTGAAAATAAATACAATGTATCTAAATACAAATTAAAGACATGTCATAATAGATCATTCCATCTTAAATAAATCAACAATGATTTGTGGAAATATTTAATATCAGCTTGAGATTTTTCTTAATGTTTTTTTTTTTTCGAGACTTAGCATGAGCAAATTCAAAAAGATAAAAACAGAATGACATCAAAATCTGCAAAATCTTTTCATTTTAAAGGTTATACTTAGTTTAATTTGTTATGTACATAAATATAGCTAGAAAAAAGCAAATATTAATAAGATAATGAGGGTCACAATTTACTGCCTGGGAATCCTTAACCAATCCCATCCCTAACCCTGGGGTAGTATGCACCAGCCCTGCTTACAGAGATAATGATTTTTTTCTTTTAAAATATGTTTATAAATTTCTCTTCATTGCTTTTTAAATTGTAAAATGACTTAAATTCATGCATACATGTTTCCTGATTTTCAAATTCCCTGAAACTCAAAGATCAAATCCTTATTTATTAGAGTTTGGTCTTTGTTTCTTCATTTTCTTTTTAATGTCTTTATCAACAATTATCATATGAATCAATTTTAACCCTCATTTTCAAATCTTTCAGAAAACATCAAACTAAAATGCAATTTTCCTTTTTTCATTGGCCTACCATCAGCTATCAGCAAATAGTGACCCCCCCCAACAAAACAAAAAAATTTTTGTATTGAAATTACCAGCAATACATTTTTATAAAAAAAAATATTATTACCAATAATACATTTTTTTATACTAAAATGATTCACAATACATATTTTTTTAGTAAAATAACCAACAATAAATTTTTTATAGCAAAATGATAATCAATACAACACTAAAGAAAATTATAAAAATACATTTTTATAATAAAATTACTAACAATATGTTGCAACCTAGAAAAGGTTACTAAATGAGGAATAACCAAAATGGGGGTTGGAAATGAAATAGTAATCTTATAATCTTATAGTATAACATCAACAAAATACAATACTCGCCAGCGGCGTGAAGTAGGTAAACCACTGCTTGTGGTGAACTACTTAGACGGTATATTACCCCCCGCATACTTACAATAGTGTTCAACATGTTTATGAGGATTGGGACATACCTATTAGTATTCATAGGTACAGTATATAACATAATACATTTTCTGATCTACAAACTATATATTTAAAAAATATAGGTTTGCCCTGAAAGTATAAAATTATATCCAAAATATCTGTAGCTGAAGCCTTAAAATGCTTACAAAATATTTAGATTTTGGCATTAATTAACCCATAGAGGTGTTGATATGCCACTAGACAAAAAAAAAAAAAAACAAAACTAAAAATAAGGCCTATTAAAAATATTAGCCTTATTTTCACCAATTTTTTTCAACATTGAAAGGACAAAACCAATTTTCTGAAAGTTAAAAAAAATCAAAGTACTTCTGGTGTTACAATTGTTACAAGAATGTTTGTTCACCTGCCTATTTAAAAAGTGGCCTAAATATTTACTTATATACATGTATACAGATATGCAGGCATTGTAATTATTAACTCTGTTCATTTTGGTGCTATCTGCTAAAATTGTGATTAGAAATGTCTCTCTTTTTTTTTCTCTCTTTTTTTTATACATATATCATTGGAAGATTTATGGAATGAAAACTAAATTTATTGATCAATGTTTTGGAGAATGATCGTCCATCTTGAAGACTAAAAATTACACCCCACGCAACCATCATATTTCTTTTTAAAAAACAACAAAGTGTTATTTTAAGATATGTTTGTACAATTGTATAAAGATTTTCAAGGTTACACTAAGAAATCCATGAAGAATATTAAATTCATTTGAAATCTAGTGAAATCCATCAAGAATATTCATTTCATCTGAAATCCAGTGACTATCTCCATTTATTTTTCATTTATCTTAACTTCTATTTTGTGATGCAATTTGACAGGGAAAAAAATGGCTGCAGACAAGAGATTTAGACACATGGCCAAAAAAACTTGATTCTTTTGGGAAGGAATTTCACCTTTGATAAATAATAATATATACTGTAGCCTATCTATGTTTTTTGAAAATAATTACTTTGTTTCAATCCGTAAATTAGATTGGACACTTCAAAAGTAAAAATCATGATAGATTTCCAGAAAATATGTTTTGCTATCAAATGCCAGTAAAATTAATTGTAAAAAGAGAATAAAGATAGATATGTATTTTTAAATGTATAAAAAAAAAAAAAAAACTTTGCACAAAATTATGAAATTTATCTCAACCTACAGAAACACTGGTTGTGTTTATTCTTTTAGTGAGTGATCCAGGGAAGAGTGGCACTACTGGTTAGAACCCAAATGAAGCTGAAATTTTTTTATCAAAATTGTTTCTTGTCAACAAGATTAGAACCAAATGACATTGAAAGTGGTTGTTTTTTAGTTAAATTTTATTTATTTAAAATTTTTATTTAATCAGTATTTTAAAATCTTTATTTAGATGTTAGATTTCTTTTTTTTTCTTTTTCTTAAAAATCAAACATTGTATGAAAGTGTATTTCATCAGTGTTGGTTACCATTTTTAGCTGAATCCTGTCGTTGTTCTTAATTCTTCTAAAATCCTGCATCTTGTACTTAAATCAGGTCACCTCAATCAACCAGCAGCAATGACTTTACAAATGTCATGTCTGTCAAGCAGTCACTTTTATTTTTTTTCTGCACTTTTTAGTAAACTTTGTTTTTACTCTTTAAACAAACATTTCAATTGACTGCTTTTTATAAAGTTAAAAAAATAATTTTCCTTCTTAGAAAGATTTTGAAGGAATTCTTCTTTTGCCCTGTTTTCCATTGACACCAAATATATTTGACTTTTGGGAAGAAAATAAAAATCCTAAAAGGAGAAAAGACAGAAAATGGTATCGCAACCAATATGTCTGTTCATGGCTTTTTCTTCTTCAAAATTTATCATAGAATTTTCAGCAGACATAGATAAATGTACCTGCAATAAGACATAGTTTAGGCTTATGGGCCACATCATGTTGAAACATTGGTTCCTGTACAATCACCAAAGTTAAGCAACATCAAACTGGGTCAGTACAAGGATGGGTAACTGCTTGGGAATAACAGGCTCTGTAATCTTGGATGTTTGGGTAGTGTAATGGATAATGGTTTGGAACTGTTAATCAGAGAGCCGAGTTCCAATTCTGGCTTGGGTCATTATATTCATTTACATGAAAATACCCAGCTATGGTGTTAATTAATAAGACTTGTATCACTAAATCCATTATTATCACAAGAAAAAAAAAGATATTTAGATTTCAGCATTAAATAACCCATAGTGGTTGATATGTTGCTAAACAAAAGAATAAACTAAAATAAAATAAATATTATGTTCAAGAAACTCTTAAATTGCAATGAGCTCTGTGGATAAATAAGCTTTTAGAGTAAGTACATTAAAATATGTTATATTAAAAATGAATCTATTAAAATTGTTTTTCACTTATAACATGAAGACATAGTTGAGGATCAATTTCTGTTTTTAATTTTATTTAAGTTTCATATTTTAGAAGTATTTTATTTAAGTGTGCTATCTTTTCACAGCATATGTAAGTTTAATAATAGTAACTCTAGAAAATTTAATAACTAGTATCATTAGTTATACTAATAACTAATATCATAATTATAATTCTGCTTGTCCCTCCCTTAGTATGACTGTTTTGCCCAGCCAATACCTCATAAATAATGGACTGTTTTGTTTTGATCGTGTGGAAACATAGAAAGGACATATTGGAGATGCCACTTTGTTTCAGTGATAAAATGAAAGAAAGAAATGTTTAATGCCTGTTTCACTGAAATAATAAAAACTCTCAATTTCAAGTCTTTTTATTTATACCCCCTTACTTCTTAAAATAACAACCAGCATTCATATTTCTGTCAATCCACCTTCTCACATGACACCTCCTAGTTTTACCTCTCTGTGTTTCGCAAGTGATCATGGGAGGGGGCGGTGACTCTGAGTAAACACATAACACAGAATGTTAATATTTTTAAACCAGTCTCCCCATCTCTTTAGTACATATCTGGAAAATGGTGGTCAGCTGACTGACCTATGTTGGGGCAGGGGTTTGGATCGGCAAGGAGTAGGAGATGCGTACTTTAATTATTCTTTTATCATCTTGTATCATTTTCTTCTTTTCTAATTGTTTGCCCTCTCATTCCTTGTTAATTGTATCAAGAATATATTCCTTTTGTTACTATACAATGGGGAAATTCATTTTTTAATCAGAGCTAAACAAGAATCGAAGATAAAAAATATATTTTGTTTTGATTGTGTGTCGAGATGGAAAAGACATATTGGAGATGCTACTTTATTTCAGTGAGAAAATGAAAGAAAGTGTTTAACATTTGTTTCATCAAAATGGTAAAAGTTGTTCATTCAAATCTTTTCATTTGTACCCCCTTACTTCTTAAAATAACAGCCAGCATTCATATTATGAGTGTTATTGCAATATTTTGCTAAAGTCATTAAGCTCAAATAATTAACAATAATATGTCAGAATTTCTACAGATATTTTATTGTTGTAGAACTCATGAACTTATTTAGTCATTAACTTAAGAATTAAGATTCATCAGAAAATTCAAATAGGAAAACCTTGACATTTTCACAGTTATTAAAATGTTCCAAAATTACCAACCGTATAAATATGAATTGTATGAAGGATCATAAATAGTGAAAGGTTTCTTGAATATTTATAATTTTAAGTTCGTTATATTTTGTGAATAAAGTGGGATCCTCTGTTCTAAAACAAAATGTTTCTTTTTTCCTTCAATCTGTATTATTAAAGATGTTGAAAGACATAAAAATAATTATCAAGGAAAAATCAATTTGTCATCTGTTACTTCCAATTAAATATTGCTTAATTTCTTCCAGATCACACTGTGCACCCTACACACTCTGCAGATGAACATAGGAATTCCTGGAGTAAAACATGTGCAAAATCCAACCAGTCAAGGCCTTCTTCTAGTCAGACACCTTCCAACAGTGCTGCAGGTAAATTTCATAAAGTGTTGCTCAACAGCTTGAGAATGTATTGTTGATTACATCATTGTTTACATGTATTATTATTTATTCTTTTTGAAATTTTATTAAAGATTCTGAAGTTTATAAAAAAAATGCTGTTGCAGCAACTGTGTTTTTATGCTAAGAAATATACTTTTTTATTACGGATGCTATCATTTATGCCATTTTTTAGTGGTCCATAAAATGCTCATAAATGTCAGCAGGCTTTCAACTCAAATAAAGAAAAATAAAAGCATAGTTTATGTCTGAATATATATATATATATATATATATATATATATGAGGGGGTGATGAAAAATTCTCAACCTGACACACTTTTGAATTAGACCCCTTTGTGTCCTCTACATGTTTTGACTCACCTTTCAACCACCTGCTGAACATTCATAAATGTTCTCAAATTTAAAAGCCTTGATAAACGAATGACGACTTCACCTTTGTATATAAATATGCACAAGAAAATAAATTCCACATTTCCTTGATATAGATTATATATATATATATATATATATATAAATTCCCAAGAGGATAGAATCCAGGTAGAACTCAATATCAAAGACAGAGTAAGAATATAATATAAAAGGCTCAAGTGAGAGTGTAGGTGCAGGAGTGGGAAACAAGTGTGAGGGAATAGGTCAGTGAATCAGTAGTGATTTATGCATCTGAAAATAATTCATATTTATCTGTATCTCACTCGTTTAAACCATTGTTTAACCCCTCTCTTTAAAACCTCTCTTTTAAAATTTAAATCCCACCTTCACCATTAGGCCTTGCCTGTTTTTCATTGTTCTGTTACACCCTCTCTCTCTCTCTCTAGAGCTTTCATACATTTCCCTCTCACACTTGTTTCCCACTCCCACACATACACTCTCACTAAAATTTTGTTTGTTTATACCCGGAGTTATATTTTCCAATTTCTTTTTGAACTTGTAGGTCTGATGAATTGGATAGTGATTACGATTCCAATGTAATAAATTATAATCATGGAATATTAGTGTTTAAGCCTTTTATTTATATATATATATATATATATATATATATATATATATATATATAAAAATGGTGGTACTCATTTGGAAAAACCTTGGGTATTTCAGATTGTAGTAGAACAAACCAGTACCCAAGGAAAAATGAGGAATAAAAAAAGAAAGAACCAAGAACATGAAACTGCGGCAAAAACAATCATCCAGAGTTCAAGGTCAGAGTTCAAAGAAAAAAACTCCAGAACGAGTAAAGGCAACTACGTAAAGTGCTCAATACACAAAGTAGAGCAAACCTAAGATCTAAAAGGAAAACTAATCTTAGATCTTATCTATATATATATATATATATATATATATATATATATATATATACACACACACATATACATATATATATATTGTTACGAGGATGCATTTCTATAATAAGGGATTCCACTGAGTTCTACTTGTTATTACAAAAAAGTTTTCATTCATGAAGTAGTTGTTAAATAGAGAAATTAGAAATAGAATGTTTGGAAGATTCTAGATCATTCTAGTATATTTGAGAAAAATCTAGATGATTCGAGAAACATCTAGAAATATGCAAATTAGGTGTTAGCCCCTATAAAAATGGGATTTTGGAAAGGGTTGCCAGTTGATGAATGGGAATTTCTGCTGTTATCAACTCCGGCTTTTGATTCAAGGACTATTATATCCAGTCGAAAGAATCTCTATAAAAAGTTGCCGACCAACCAAAACCCAAAAGAGAATTTCATGGAACAAATTTGGTAAATAGAATTTTGACTAATTTTCATTGACCAAACTAAAAATTAATATTCATTTACACACCTTTGTGGATTTCCAAAATATAGCACTTAGATTACTTCACTAGCCCTAAAGTGATAAAGATATTTGACTGCCTTTCCTTCTTCCTCGTAACACTTCGCCAGTAACTCTGTGTTTTCTGTTTTGTAGGCCACAATTGTTTATCTTGTATATATTTTATGTTGTGTTTTAGTAAATTAAATATTTGTTTGTGATTTAGCTGTGTTGTGGTAAATCATTTTTTTTCCTTTGTTACAATTATCAACACGTAACAATATATATATATATATATATATATATATATATATATATATATATATATATATATATATAGAGAGAGAGAGAGAGAGAGCACAATGAGTACTGGTGGTAATAAAAATGCTCACTGTAGAATAACAGAGCAAAAATTTGTACTATTAATAATAAATATGTTTTTTTTTTCTTCATCGTATGGTACAACAATGAGTTTCATGCTTGCACCAATCTTCAGGTACTGAATGCAGTGATGGCACCAACATTATCAAGACATCTTATACTTAATTTCTTGGATAAAAGTTCTATTGCTCAGCATCCAAAAACACATTCCTGTCCACTTTCACAATGCAGGAAAATATTTGTTGACAACACCAATATACTACACCATGAAAATAATAAACAAAAACTTCAAGTTTTTTAGGACTTCTGTATCAAAATTAACCAACCAACACTCAACAAAATTTATTATGAATATAGCAACAATATGTAAAAATACATATCATATTTAATGCTGTTTTACAATTCTACCAATTTCTGGTCAGCTCTCTTCTATTGAAATGCTGGTTTTGCAAAAAATTCCATAGCTACAAGGGATAAATTTAAAATTTTAATATAACTATAACAGAATGTATTCATGTGTGTTTTTAAAATAACTATCACAATGGAATGCATATTTTCCCGCAGTTACAATAAGTTTGTGTTTGTAATTTAATCCTGAAGATAATCTTGAAAAAGATTGAAAGTACTCAGCTTAACAAAAACTATGGTGCCTTCCTTTTTTGAATTTAATCTTAACATCAAGAAACTGATTAGACCACTGAAAAGAATCAGTATAAAAATAGACACAATATTTCCATATTAGTCAATGAAATGTATAAAATTAGTATACATTTATAATCTCAGAATAAATAATTCTTAGCTATAAATAGACTCAAGTGCCAAGGATTCTTTTTATATACTTCCATTTACCCATGATAGGAAATGCCACAAAACCTCTTTTGTTTAATTAACAACTCATTGGGATTGACTGTTGCATTTTTCTCCCCACCTCTCTCTCTCCCTCTCTCAAACACACACACGCATTATATATGTGTATATGCATGTACATGTTTTTATATGTAAATGATTGTTGGTATTTATATATTCATATGCATGTATATACACACCTGTTTAGGTTGAATATGCTTATGATATAGTCATAAAACACCAATTATTTATAAATATATATTATTTCTCTCTCTCTCTTAATACACAAAGGAGTGCTGAAAAGTTCTTGGCCCAATAACCCCCCCCCAATGCTTAAATGAAATGACCATCAGAATTTTGTGAGGAAGGGCTTCTTGATCCAGCCAAGTAATCTTCACTATCCTCCCATTTCGTGTGTGTGTGTGTGTGTATATATATATATATATATATATATATATATATATATATATATATATATATATATATAGTAAGTATGTGTTTTCAAATAAAAGGTTCAGTGTTTGCCTGTAATTTCTGTGTACCTTGTTTTTATCTTACCAACATATGACTGTAAACAAAGAACATACTAAATTAGTCAAAATATGTGAAAAACCATCATCCAAGTTTTGGCAAAGAAAATGAATAATGTTCATTGAAAGATATTTTTAGGAAATTCCGTTCTTGGCTTATTTCCTTGTTAGAACTGATGTTCTGCAAGCAAAGATTTCAATACCAAAATGATTTCATTGTTTTGTGTTTCTTCTCTAAAATGTCTGTGAAAGTTTGGATTGCTCTTTACAGCAGTATTCCAATCCCAACTTACACACATATATTTTGGCAGCAAATCTTCATTCAAATGTTTCATTGAATAATATAGATATGTTATATTTATATATTTTTACAATAATCCTTTCTAGTTTTCTAATCAGTTTCTTGATGTTAACATGAAATTCATCAAGGAAGGTACTGTAGTTTTTTCCTACCCAAGTACTTTTGATCTCCTCCAAGATCATCCTAAGGGGTGAATTACAAAGCCAACCTTATTGTAACTGTGATCATTGTGATGGTGATTTTTAAAAACATACATGAACACACTCTCTTATAATTATTTTTAAATTTTAGATTTATCCATTGTAGCTATGGAATTGTTTTTGTTAAGAAGCGTCCCAATATAAAGGAGCTAACCAGAAATTGATAGAAATGCAAAATGGCTTTGTTTGTCAAATGCATTTCAAGAGTTTGTTAGTACACTTGTAATAAATTTTGTTGAGTGTTTATTGATTGATTTTGATATAGAGGGCCTTGAGAATTTGAAATTTTTATTTATTATTTTCATGGTGTAGTATATTGGTTTTGTCAACAAGTATTTTCTGGTATTATGAAAGTGTTTTTAGATGTTGTGCAATAGACCTTGTATCTGACAAGTGAAGTGTAAGATGCCTTGATAATGTTGTGGTCATCAAACCAACATATGTTCTTACTTTTTTGTCAGATACAATCTCCCAAAGGACATTTAAACTGGTATACAATGTTTGTCCTTTCCAGAATACTACTACACCATTTATACCCAAATATTTGATCCGGCATTTTAAATTTGATTTCCTGTCAGCCATTTGCTTCTCTTTTGATTAATTCCTAATCAAACGCAATGATTTTTGGTTGGTTAGAATGAAAGTAGACAAACTTTAATTCATGTATATTTTTGTGGGTTCCACATTTTATTTATTTTAAAATTTGTAGTTTTAAAGGATTTGGATTTCTTTGAGAAAAAAGATTTTTGATACAAATTCAGTTTTTGGAACTGAACCATCAAAGTACCTACACATATGATTTGATTATAGTGGGGAAGGTATGCGTAGAACTAGCCCTCAGATTTTGAATTCAGAGTTGACCTAGACTGGTTGTCAACCAAGGCTAAAAAGCTTAGTCTGCCTTAATATTTGAGTTGAGAAGAGATGGATTCAT